TGTTTACTGTCATGTTGTGGGGGAAATTATGGTTAAAAAAATTCTGGGAGTTTTAAAATAACTTTATTTTTACAATTTTGAGTTTATTTGCATGTTGCCTGAACTTTATGCATTATAAATACATACAGTTAAATTTTAATTATTTTGTTGCACATTTACAATTGAAAGTCATAGTCGTGGTCATTATACTAAAATTTACACTGTAAGAAAAGTTGAAAGTGCAATGGTTTGCATAATAAATACATATTTTCACCCATATTTTCTTATTATTTACACTAAGTGGACCACATTTAATTACTGTAAATTTACACATAAAGGACATTTTAAAAGCAGCATTTACATGCACACAATTTTAATGTGCAGAAGTATAGCAGTCTGCTTCATATAGCAGAAGTATTTTTAAAGGTTATAAGGTTAAAAATTTGTCCATCAATTACATAGATTTTGGGAAAACGGACCAAAATCACACTGCATGTTACACAGCACAGAAAAAGTACGCAGCCAGAAATCAGTTACAAAATTTAAATAAATAAATAATATGGCAAAGAGAAAAGTGTCTTCATGCCAAAGGATCTTTCATGCATTCAGAAACATCAACCACAAGCAAACAGTAGCTGCTGATCACAGTTTATTTGCAGTTTCATATTGCAATACATTTGCATCATACACTTACAATAAATCCAGGTTTGTTCTCATTTAAATCAATCTGTGATTCACTCAGACTTGCGTCACAATTTAATGACATAAGTCCAATATCAGTAAATTGAGTGACGTATATTTCAATGTGAAATAAAATATAAGCTTACAGTATGTTTGACATAGTTCATTTTCCAAAATAAGTTAATAAGTTAAGAACAGTCTCATTCAAATTTCTCTACATTATAATTGTGCTTCTATTTGACAACATAACGTTTAAATATTCAATTTAAATAGGCATAACTTAGTAATAGTTACATTTTCAAAATACAACAGCAAAAATTTATAACAAGCTTAAAAATAACTTTATAGAAATATATTAATATGTCATAATAAGTTGACTCTTAGAAAATTAGTTTACAATCTGTCTGGAGCTTTAGCAGATCCCTCCACATTGCGCTCACTAATAGATGATGTTGGCAGTGACGTGGATGTCTGTTGACTGATTTTCAAATTTCTGCTGTTAAAAAAAGCAACAAATAAATAAATTAATAACATACAATACAACAATGCGAACACAAATGTTTCCTATGAAATATGTGACAATATGAATCATTTTAAAGGTTTTATTTTGCTACATAATTGTTGTGTTTTACTTACAGAAATTGCTGAGCTTTCCTCCGCACCCATGGCTGTCTGGGATCAGAGCAGAAATCCCCTCGATCAGTCTCAAAGCTGTCAAGAATAATAAAACATTTAACAAACCAATATTTAAAGTCGTATGCTGTTTTTAAATTGAAAGACTGTTTTATTTATGTAAAACATTCTGTAATAATGTTTGCTTCTTCAAAAAAAGTTCAATCACTTCTGATCAAACATGGGTTTTCTGGAATGAATTGTGATTCTTACATGATGGCATTTACACATGGAAGACTTTTACGTTGTATCCTGACACCGATGATAGGATCAGTCACCTCTACTGTGGAGACTGATCTACAGCAGTTTATCACCCTTTCCGCATCTGCTATGATAGAAAAGCAAAATAAACTTCAACTTTCTGCATCTTTCCATCAGTTAGAATAATATAGGAACAGTTTAGAGTATTTTACCTGTTACAGTCCAGATAGCAGACACAATAACAACAATAGCGAAACTCCTCATGAGGATCCTTTTGTCCATTTTCACAGTCAATCTTGAAGTCTGAACTCTCGCTTCTTGTGTCTGAGAGAGAATGTATTCAGGACTCTAACTAGTTCGTCTTAAGTAGTCAATAAAGCGGAACTTGAACAGCATGGGCTGCATCCTCTTAACTGCGGCCAGATTTATTTTTGTAGATGATTTCATCAATGTTCTGTTTCGTCATTGAATCTGGATTTCCATTTGGTTTCATGAGGGGAGTGAAGTCATTATTCACAGTAGGTGGGAAATGTCAGTTGCTAAATTAATATATGCAAATGCAAATAGGGGATCTCTGAAGAAAGAGCTTCTTGATTTAATGTTTAACATTACAGTAGGTGTCAGCAATTTAATAGTTATACAGTCAGGTCTATAAATACTGGGACATCGACACAATTCTAACATTTTTGGTTCTATACACCAACATAATGGATATAAACTGAAATGAACAAGACGTGCTTTAATTTGAAGATACAGTATTTATATCCAAATTAGGTTAACAGTTTAGGAATTACAACAGTTTGCATATGTGCCTCTCACTTGTTAAGGGACCAAATGTAATGGGACAGAATAATAATCATAAATAAAACTTTCACTTTTTAATACTTGGTTGCAAATCGTTTGCAGTCAATTATAGCCTGAAGTCTGGAATCCTTAGACATCACCAGATGCTGGGGTCCATTACTACAACTGTCTTCAGTTCCTGCTTATTCTTGGGGCATTTTCCCTTTAGTTTTGTCTTTAGCAAGTGAAATGCATGCTCAATCGGATTCAGGTTTGGGGTTTGACATGGCTATTGCATGACATTCCACTTCTTTCCTTTCAAAAACTCTTTGGTTGCTTTTGCAGTATTCTTTGGGTCATTGTCCATCTGCTCTGTGAAGGACCGTCTAATGAGTTCTGAAGTATTGAGCTTAATATGAGCACAAAATATTGCCTGAACCCCTTCAGAATTCATCCCTTTGTCAGCAGTCACATCATCAATAAATACAAAAGAATGAGTCATACGCCCACATGCCCTCACCATGACACTACCACCACCATGCTTCACTGCTTAGGATCATGAGCAGTTCCTTTCTTTCTCCATACTCTTCTCTTCTTATCACTCTGGTACAAGTTGATCTTGATCTCATCTGTCCATAGGATGTTGTTCCAGCACTGTGAAGGCTTTTTTAGAGGCTTATCTGGCCTTCCTGTTTTTGAGGCTCACCAATGGTTTACATTTTGTCGTGAATCCTCTGTATTCACTCTGGTGAGGTCTTCTCTTGATTGTTGACTTTGACACACATACACCAACATCCTAGGGAGTGTTCTTGATCTGGCCAACTGTTGTGGATGGTGTTTTCTTTACCAGGGAAATAATTCTTCAGTTGTCCACCACAGTTATTTGGTCTTCCGGGTCTTTTGGTGTTGCTGAGCTCACTGATGCGTTTTTTTTTCTTTTTAAGAATGTTTCAAACAGTTTTTTTTTTTTGCTTTCTCTTTGATGGGTTTGTTTGTTTGTTTTTCAGCCTAATTTTGGCTTGCTACACTATAGTGACATCTCTTTGGATCTTATCTTGAGAGTTGACAGTAACAGATTCCAAATGCAAATAGCACACTTGAAATTAAATCTGGAACTCGTATCTGCTTATTGTTATTGGGATAATGAGGGAATAACACACACTTAGCCATGGAACAGCTGAGAAGCCAATTGTCCAATTACTTTTGGCCCTTTAACAAGTGGGAGGCACATATGCAAACTACTGTAATTCATACACTGGTTACCTGTTTTTGGATATAAATACCCTCAAATTGAAGTTTTCAGCCTATAGTTAAAGCACCTTGCTTGGATGCTTGGTAAAATAAAATATTTTTATTTTTAAATACCAATAAAGGATGACCAGTATATTATATATTTTTTTAAAAGTTCAAATGTATTTTATCTTGTGGTTTTGCTCATAAAGCAAAATAGGAAGAAAGGAAAACATTTAGCTTTTTTTCATCTTAGGACTTAGTTGGAGTTTTGCTGGTTAGTGGGATGGCAAGGGTCTTAGTAATGATTTTTTTAGGGGGTTATCACATTTTATTGGGACAGGACAAGCATTGGGAGCAGAGAGGGGGGAAGGATCGGAAAAGGACCTAAAGCCAGGAATCCAACTCAGATCACTGTGAACACCAGAGTGCTCTATGTCGGTGCACTTAACCAGGCTATTGGTGCCGACAGGATGGCAAGGTTCAAGTTTTCCAATTGCTGCTCTTCTTATGTCCTTCCAATACCCTAAGATGTAGAGTGCAAATTAAGACATTTTAGATGAAATCTGAAAGCTCTCACCATCCATAGTCAACAGTTAAAAGACAATACGAAGCTCCAAGAACACTTTTGTGCAGGGGTTCTCAACCTTTTTCACTTCAGGGCCCATCTCTTTCTATTCACCTTATTCTTTTGGCAAATTTGAGATCTGCAGTGTCTCACCACCCTAAAACCATCTAAATATGGGACTCTTTCTATTACTATGCAGCAGTCTTTTTTTGTATTCATACAGTCACTTTTGTTACCTTACTGTCTTTACCTTCTACAACTTTCCCTGGACTACAATAACCAATCATCAAATTTCTCTCTCCCAGTACTCTCTCCATAGATGCAAATTTGGTTTGTGAGTCTCAATGCTTTAACTTTCTTTACCTTTTCCTACTCCCTCAAACCTCACAACCATACTTAACAAATCAGACCTTGAGTCAACTCTATGATTCACCCATCTGAAATATTTTCTTTCTCTCATGATCAGTCAATTTCTTAATTCTAGCTCTCCTTATTACATCCTCCCATTCATTTTCTCCTTGGTCATCGCTACACTGCATTTTTTTATCATCTTCTGGTTCATTCTGGCACCATCCTGCTATATTAGATGTTTTTTTTAAAGATTTTTTATACTTTAATAAGTTGGGTAATGTTTATTTATTGATGTTTTGATGTAATATTTAATCATCTATAACCTATTTTTTCTTTATATGAGCCCTTTTGGTTATGTGGATGTTTTCAGATTATACCCATTTCCATTACTCCTCACATTTGTCTTGTGTTATGTCATTGTGTGGAGGAAATTATGGTTATGGTTTATTAAATACACATAAAGGACATAAGCAGCTTTAAAATTGACACAGTTTTAATGTGACCTTTATATAGCAAAAGTAATTTTTAAGGTTGAAGAAATGTCCATTAACAACATAAATGTAGGGGGAAAGGGACCAAAATCCCACACAGCACAGAAATAGTACACAGCCAGAGTTCAGTTACAAAGAAAAATATGACAAAGAGAAAAAGTGTCTTCATGCCAGAGGAAGAACATCCTTCATACATTCAGAAACATCAACCACAAGCAAACAGTAGCTGCTGATCACAGTTTATTTGAAGTTTCATATTGCATTTGCAACATACACTCATAATAAAATCCAGGTTTGTTCTCTTTCAAATCAATCTGCAATTCACTCAGACTTGCGTCACACTTTAATGGCATAAGTCCATTATCAGTAAAGTGAGTGACTTATATTTCAATGTGAAATAAAATACAAGCTAACAATATGTTTCACATAGTTTATTTTCTGAAATAATTTAATAAATTAAGAACTGTCTCATTCAGGTTTCTCTACATAATAGTTATGCTTCTATTTGACAACATAACATTTAAATATTAAATTTAAATAGGCTTAACTTAGTAAATGTCACATTTTCAAAATACAACAGCAAAACTTTATAACAAGGTTAAAAATAACTTCATGGAAATATAATGATATGTCATAATGAGTTTACTCTTAGATATTCTTGATTCACAATCTGTCTGGAGCTTAAGCAGATCCCTCCCCATTAGTTTGCTCACTAATGGATGACGTTGGTTCTGGCGTGAATGTCATCGGTGGCGTGGATGTCAGTGGTGGCGTGGATGTCAGTGTTGGTGTAGATGTCAGTGTTTGCGTGGATGTCTGTTGATTGGTTTTGAAATTTCTGCTGTTAAAAAGGCAATAAATAAAATAAATTACAAACAATTAAACAGCTTGAACAAAATAATATTAAAGCTCCTATTTTGCTACAAGTTGTATCAAAATAGTTTTGTTTAACTTACATAAACTGCATGACTTTCCTCCGCACCCATGGCTGTCTGGGGTCAGAGCAGAAATCCCCTCGATCAGTCTCAAAGCTGTCAAAGAGAATGAAAACATAAAAAAAAAATAAACTAAACTAAATAAAGTTGCTTGTATATTTATTTCACATTAAATTAAAAAGAAATTTCAATTAATGGATTTAAATAAATGTGAAATATTTTTTTTATTCAAATGTTGATTTTTTTTATAAAGCATTCTCCAATAAAAGTAGCTTTTCCAAAAAATGTTATCTTTTTTTTTTTTTTTTTTTTTTTTTAAGAAATGAACCCTTTCTTACATGATGGCCTTCACACATGGAAGACTTTGATTTTGCATCCTGACACCGATGATCGGATCAGTCACCACTACTGTGGAGACTGATTTACAGCAATTTGTCCCCTTTTCTTCAATGGCATCTGCAAAGACAGAAAACAAGATAAACCTCAATATTTAGCTTTTTTTTCAGGTAGAATAATATAAAAACAGTTAAGAGTGCTTTACCTGTTACACCCCAGATAACAGATGCAATAACAACAATTGTCAAACTCCTCACGAGGATTCTTTGTGTTTCCATTGTCACAGTCGTTCTTAAAATCTGAACTCTCGCTTCTTGTGTCTGAGAGAGAATGCATTCAGGACTCGTACTAGTTCGTCTTAAGTAGTCAATAAAGCGGAACTTGAATGCATAGGCTACATCCTCTTAACTGCGGCCACATTTATTTTTGTAGATGATTTCATCATTGTTCTGTTTCATCATTGTATTTGGATTTCCATTTGGTTCCATGAAGGGAGTGAAGTCATTTTTCACAGTAGATGTGAAATGTGAACTGCTCAATCAAAATATTCAAATGCAGATGGGAGATCTCTGAAAAAAGAGCTTCTCGATTTAATGTTTAACATTACAGTAGGTGTCAGCAATTTAATAGATAGAAATTCCTTGTATGCTTGGCAAAATAAATAGTATTTATTTTTAAATGTCAATAGATAGTGTACATTAGATTAGATTTTTCATTGGCTAAAAGTATTTCATCTTGAAACGCTGCTCATTTGAATAAAGCAAAATAGGAAGGAAGGAAGAGAGCTGACCATTTACTATTTCTTCATCTTTGGGGTTTGTTGGGGAAATTTTCTGGTAAGTTAGCAGTATGGCAAGGGCCTAGTTTTCCATTTCACAATGTTTTCTCTCTTAGTTTCTCCATATGGTCATTTTCTCTTGAAATACAAGACTGTTTCACTGGCAGTATGACAGCATGCTTACTGAGCGATTTTAACACACATAAAATACAAGGTTAATGGGTGAGTTCACCCAAAAATGAAAATTGTATTAATAATTCATATCATACCCTCATATCCTTTCCAACCCCTGAGATGCAGAATTATGCAAATTAAGACATTTTATATGAAATCTGAGAGCTCTCTGACCTTCTATAGGCAACAACAGTTCTAAGATAATACGAAGCTCCAAGAACACTTTTGTGCGCCAGAAAAACCTGTAAAATAACCAATTTCTTTACTTTCATGTTAGGTCAGGGTGCGCACAACAGACAATACAATGTATATATTTGCCATTAGATACAAAGGCATTAGGGTGTTTTTGGAGCAAACAGTGCTGGACAACAGGGTTAAGGATAAAAATGCAGTTTATTCATAAGATTAGTCAGACAGGCAATGGTAAAACAGGAGTAAACAGATACATACAGATAATTCAGAATCGTGAATGGTCAATACAGTTGGCAAGGAATCAAAACGAGTTAACAAGGCAAGGGTTCAAAACATGGCTATAGGCTAGACGAGAAGAGAATGCTGCGTAGTGTTCCAAGACAACAAGACTCAGCAACGTATGTGTTTGTGTGCTATATATATATATGGTCCATGTAATCAGTTTTTAAGCAGCTCCCTGCTGTGTGTGTGTGTAATAAAAAGAAGAACTGGAACAGGTGTGAGTGTGTGGTGGATGGCAGGATTTGTAGTTCCTTTGGTTACAGGATTGTCTGGGTGATGGTGAATGTTCTCCAGGGTTAAATCGCTGGTGATTGTGACTGTTTGTGGCAAACGTTTTTGTGTGATTACATTTGAACCACTTAAGACACATGAAATGTCTTTTTTTTATGTCTCAGGATTGTTGATGTCTATGGAGGTTTTTTTTTTTAAGATGAATGTAGGTATCAGGGTTTTGGAACAGCAGGAAGGTGAGTAAATAATAACAGCATTTTCATTTTTGGGTAAAATAACCCTGTAATGTTATTGAGTTATATAATAGTTTGTGTAATATAATATAATGTTTAATAACTAAATACCTTAGATAAAACTGTAAATATATTTTTGTTAATGTGTTAATTTGTCTTCTCAAAATATTTGAGAATTAATGTTCAGTGCTGTTTTGGATTCGATAGAATTCATTGTATGGACATTAACACAAAAACAGAGGTCACACTTTATTTTGATGGTCTGTTTGTTGAATTTAAGTTACATTGCATCTACATGCCAACTAATTCTCAATAGATTATAAGTAGACTGTTAGGTTGGGGTTAGGGTAAAGCAAAATAATCTACATTATCATTTTAAGGTCATGTATATCGTGTAGGATGTGCGTGTTGATATCTTATGACCTGAGGCTGTGATGATGTTTCTATTTGAGGTTAAAATCTGTCCCACAGCTATATTTACTTTACAAGGCCACCATCGCACCACCTACACTGTTTGTCGTTTAGTTTAGAAGTATTATGATTGTAACAATTCTAATATGAAAGCATCAGCTCTTGCTATATAAACACAGTCAGTCAGATCTAGTAATCATCACTAATCATCTGATGAGAGTAAGGAAAGATGGCTGAAAGACTAAAGTTGAGTTTGGCTTTAATTGATACTGATCATCTTATCTTGTAAAATGTGCTCATTGTATAAATGGTATGCCAGATCACAAACATAAATGGACATTCAAATGCTGTTTCAATGACCTCAATATTGTAAGAATGAGGTTTAACTACAGTGGTTCTAACCGTAGTTTTGCCTAATAACTTAAACAAGTCAGTATGATTATGAAAAGCTTGACATTTCTAGTTAAAACATTCTTCTGCAATCTTATACCAAAACTGGAAATGAGGGCAGTTATAATAGCCTAATATGTGGGAGAGCATTACTATTATGTGATATTACAAGGCAATTTAGTGTTAAAGTTAAATCAAAAGTAATTCACAGAGTGCTTGAAAATGAAATGATTTAATAAGAATAATTTGCTGTGATTACAACTGAGTTATAAAATAACAGCATAGAATTGTCAATTCCTTGACAATATGACCAAAGCTCAAAAACTGAGCCATTCAAACTGACCAATGAAGAGCTTCATCAGTATGTGACCACATCATAAAAAACCCTAAATCCACACATCTTACCCAGGCGCTTTTTTTAGCAGCACTTCTGCTTTAAAACGTGTATGGGCCTTTTAGGGAAAAATACATGTTTGCACCAAAAAACTAATGCATGTGGTCAATTTAATCATTCCAATGTTGATTGTAGCTTGCTTATACATGCAAATTATGCTACATGCAATATCTCCCAACATCAAAAAAAACAAACAAACAAAAAAAAAAAAAGATGGAAAAAAATACACAACTATAAGCATGTTATAGGCTGGGCTCTGTAGTTGTAACTTGGGATGCCAGTATCAGTATTAGATTCAGTTCTGTGCTTTTGTGTTTATTTCCCGAGCATGGTGCTCTGATCATTTTGAATAGCTCTTATTATTAATATTTGTATTATTATTATTATTATTATTGTTATTACATTTTATTTTTGCTAGAAATAAATAAAATTTCAGAAGGTCTAAACCATACCTAACAACACTCCTGTTTTTCTCGGTAGTCTCCCGTATTTTACACCCATCTCCCACCACCCTCCCGTCTTGTTATCTATACTGGAAAACTTTTGTAAATTTACAGAATTCCCTCTTTTTGGTACAGTCTCCAACTGATATAGTATCCAATTGTTCTACATTGTCCCTCTGTATTCTCCTACTTTGTCAAATTGTCCTACCTCCCGTTCAAAAAGTAGCACCTGAACAAGCTAATCAAGCTCTTACTTGGTATACTTGAAACATCCAGGCTGGTGTGTTGAGGCAAGTTGGAGCAAAACCCTGTAGGGACACCAGCCCTCCAGGACCAGGATTGGTGACCTCTGATCTAAACACTCTCAAAAACTCTTTGCACATTCACCACATGGAGAATTTACATCTTAATTGGAACCCAAGAGCAAAATTCATGTTAAACCAATGATGTCAAATCACTTTCATTTGAATCACCTTGTGAATTAAACCTGCCTGGAAGACAGCTTACTTGTGTGAAGCTCTTATGTTTGGGTTTCTTGAGTTTTTTTAACACAAAGGAAGTTATTTTGAAAAATGCTAGAAACCTGTAACCTCTGACTAACATTGTATTTGTTTTTCCTACTTTGGATGTCAATGGCTTTTTTCAAAATGTCTTCTTTTGTGTTTAACACATAAAAAACTCATAAACGGATATAACTTCACACAGATTTGTGTCACTTGTATAGTTTTGAATGGGGAAAAGTGTTACGGTCAATATGGCAAATAAAGCCCCACCCTCTAGTAAAGGAGACAAACATCGATCACGATAGACTGACAATTTTCCGTTTGTTCGTTTCTAGGTGAGTTTCTGCCGATTGTGTGTGATTCGAACATTTACAAATGAAACTAAAGAGACAGTTGTTGTTACAGTAATTTTAGTGGTGATTCCTTATATGAATTTTATTATAAGCTTGGTAAGCAATTTTGGAGAATTTAATGTTTCCTCATTTAGACAGAATGCCTGAGCATACTGCTCGAGAGGTGTTTCAAAGATGGCCACAGAGTAAAATGACTTGCCTTAAAGGGACTTTGCTTTAAAATCGGCTTTAATAATGCTTATTATTGACTGACACTGATGATGTATATGATTCTCATAAGATTCTAATGGTATAATAACCTTGGATAAAAATATCAGGTTTCACGGTATTGTGATTACCACTGTAAAATATGTGCTTTTTAAATGTCTGGGTAAAAAACTAAAACTTTTTTCCCCTTTGAAACATTTAAACTATGTTGTAACTGTAAACATGTTACACTAAATAATTCAAATAATAATAATAATAATAATTCACTGACATTTGCTGTTCTCGTTACAATTTAAAATGGCATCTTTGGATATCTTTTCTGCTGGAGATGCAGTTGTCCTAAAAACATTAAAATAAAAAAAATCTACATACAGTACCAATAGGAACAGTATAGCAAAACATTTTGGCGTTTTTAAAACCTTGACTTTTCAAACTGCTATACCTTGAAAACGATTATCGTTTCATGCCTAATATGCAACTCAGTTATAACTATCTCTTAAATCTGTGTCATGCTTAAAGAAAATTGAGGTTGATCTCTGTTTGAACACTATGTATTGAGAGAGAAATTAGTTTAGAAGCAAGACTAAGTGCTTGTGTGTTATTTTTACTATTATACAGTATGTTACGTTTTTGGTGGGAGTTCAGTTAGCAAACAGCTAACATAAAATACATTTTCATGTAGTTATACTTTAGTCAAGTTGTTTCTGCTGATCTTTTCAAAGTAAATCAGCAAATGCACATTCTTAGATATGTCTGACAATTACTAGAGGAAGATGATGCACAGTTCCCATCATTAGGGTGTTACAGAGAAATGGAACGTATGACACAGTCGTTTCATCTGACAGTCATAGAGTGTTTGTGTGTGTGTGTGTGTGTGTGTGTGTGTGTGTGTTCATCTTGATTACTGTGACCTCTGTATAAAATCTGTCTCAGAAAGCTACTGACACACACACAAACCACAAAGACCCTCCTTAGACAGTCTGATTCTTTCCAATCATTTTATTAGATGTTGCTCATTTACTTTTGCTCTACATGAGTGACAGTATTATTGTGATTCCGGTGTTTACATGTCTGGACTGCACTTTAATAATGTGACTAAAATACTTCACCATGTCTTAATTTGATTTCTGTTTAGTTTAATTATGACCTTAATTGGATTAAATTAATCAAAAATCGCTGTTTACATGGAGTACTGTCTTAATCATATTAAAATCGGAGCATTGGCGTCCATGTAAGCTTACTCATTGTGAGGTGGAAGTAGAAAATAACTTATAATACTTTCATTCAGTTAAACTGATTTCAGAGAAATATTTGTAACACTTTATAATAACTACACACTGTGAATCATTTGTTAAGCATTAGCAAATAGTTTAGTCATCATCTGTTAAGCATTAGCTCTACATTATAAGACATTAGTAAGCAGTTTATAACTACATACAAATGATGTGTTATTGACTTAAAAGTCCATTTATAATGTTTTTAATAACTTCACTTTCATACTTTGTTACTGATTAATTTTTCATAACTAAATTAAGTATTGCAGTATTTACAAATCACGGTCACACTTTACAATAAGGTTCATTAGTTAATGTTAATAAATGCTTTTACTAACATGAACAAACCATGAACAATACATCTACTACTGTTTTTGTTCATGTTAGTTAACGTTAACGAAAATACAGTAGTTCATTGTTAGTTCATGTTAACTCACGGTGCATTAACTAATGTTAACAAGCATG